AAAAATAAAGCACTCCAAGATTTACGTGGAAAACCCTCCAGTGTAGAGGGAAAAAAACCACGGGCCACCAGAAAAATCTTCACTATCAAATAATAGTTATACAAAGTTCTTCTCTAGCTAAAACTAGAGCTAATCAACAACTAGAGAAACAATTGGAGAAATCTCACCAAATAAGTGACTCAACAAATACACCCTGGATTTGTTCCTAGAGAGCTTCAAACCCGATCTTCACCGTTCAGAATGTAAACTCTGAATCATAAACCTCCTGACAAGGTTCCAACTCAATCGGACCACGGATCGACTTCCGTTCAACCAACTCTCCCTTCTCCTTTTTCTCTCTCTGCTTTTCCTGGCTTTTCTTCTTTCTCTGCTTGGTTTTCGACACACACCAAAACAACCCCACCTCTTTTTTATTAAGTAGCTAGGGCTCTGTGTAAAATAAAAGATCAAGGCCCATGGCCTTTACTTGGTCCAAACACTTACATGGGACTGGACCCCATTTTTCCTAACAATCTCCCCCTCCAGTCCCATTAGAAGGAGATTCATCACCATAGCAATTTCATTTGGAACTTACCTTGGCCAGGAACTCATTCCGGCCAAGTTACTGCAAAGCTCAAGCTTTTCCCTGGAAGTATCTTAGTCAACATATCTGCCACATTTTTATCAGTAGGACTTTCTTCAATAGCATCTGCTTGTTCTTCAATCACTGAACGTAACCAATGATATCTAACATCAATGTGCTTTGTTCTAGCATGTACATGGTATTCTTACTCAAATCTAAAGCACTCTGGCTATCACAAAATACCACATACTCTTTCTGATTCACCCCAATTCAAAAAGAAAACGTTTCATCCAAAGCATTTCTTTACATGCTTCAGTTGCTGCAATATACTCAGCTTCTGTAGTTGACAAAGCAACACACTTCTGCAACTTAGACTGCCAAGATACAGCTCCTCCTGCAAAAGTAAACAAATACCCTGAAGTAGATTTCCTACCATCAAGATCGCCTGCCATGTCAGCATCAGTAAACCCTTCTAGAACTGGTTGTGAAACTCCATAAGTCAAGCACATTTTTGAGGTACCCCTCAAATATCTAAAAATCCATTTCACTGCTTCCCAGTGAACCTTCCCTGGATTAGAAAGAAATCTGCTCACTACACCAACTGCATGAGCAATGTCAGGCCTTGTACAAACCATAAGATACATTAAAGAACCGACTGCAGAAGAATAAGGAATACTAGACATAGCTAGTTGCTCTTCCTTAGACACTGGACAAGATTTCTTACTTAGATGAAAATGGTTGGCAAGTGAACTGCTAACTGATTTAGCATGTTGCATGTTGAATCTACCAAGCACTCGTTCAACATACTTTTCCTGTGACAACCACAGCTTTCCAGCTCTCCTATCTCGGATAATGTCCATACCAAGAATCTGCTTTGCTGGACCTAAATCCTTCATATCAAAGGACTTAGACAATTGTTCTTTCAACCTGCAAACCATACTAGCATCTTGTCCTACAATCAACATATCATCAACATATAATAATAGGATAATGAAGTTACCATTAGGGAATTGTTTAATATACACACAAGAATCTGCTGCTGTTCTTTTATAGCTATGACTCATCATAAAAGAATCAAACTTCTTGTACCACTGTCGCGGAGCTTGTTTCAAGCCATACAAGCTTTTCTTCAATTTGCAAACTAAGTGCTCTTTCCCTTTCACTTCAAAACCCTCAGGCTGATTCATATAAATGTCCTCCTGCAAATCACCATGCAAAAATGCAGTTTTAACATCAAGTTGCTCAAGCTCAAGATTCAAACTAGCTGCCAATCCCAGTACCACTCGAATAGAACTCATTTTTACAACTGGAGCAAAAATCTCATCAAAATCGATGCCTGGTTTCTGAGAAAAACCTTTTACTACCAATCGAGCTTTGTACCTCACTAGTTTGTCACCATCCTTTTTCAACTTGAACACCCATTTATTCTTTAATGGCCTCTTCCCTGTTGGAAGTTTAACAAGATCATAAGTACCATTCTTTCGCAATGACTCCATCTCTTCTTTCATTGCTTTTAACCAGTGCTCTCTATCCGGAGTAGCCTGCACATCTTGAAAGCTTTCTGGCTCCCCTTCACTGGTAACTAAAATAAAATCTGAACTTGGATACCTGGTAGATGGCCTGCGCTCTCTAGTAGATCTCCTGAGCTGAGACTCTACATCACTTGATGCTGAAGGTAGCTCCCCCTGCTCAACACTCTCAGGTAGAGAGGATTGCTCCCCCTGCTCAAAACTAATAGCATCTGGCTCATCACCAACTATGGCTGGCTCATTCATATCCCCAAGTTCTGTTTCTGGCTCATTTTCACCATCTGTGGCTCTTTCCTGTGAAATCCCTGTCGGTGTTGAAACATCACACTCAACAGTAACTCGTGTAGTCTTCTCATTTTTCTCAAGGTCTGCTATGGTTTCTTTTTCATGAAAGACCACATCTCTGCTTCTGACTGTCTTTCTCTTTACTGGATCCCATACCCTGTAGCCAAATTCCTCATCACCATATCCTACAAACACACACTGTGTAGCTTTACTGTCAAGCTTTGATCTCTGCTCTTTCGGCACATGCATGAATGCTTTACACCCAAAAATTTTCAAGTGAGAGTATGAAGCATCTTTTCCTGTCCACACTCTTTCTGGAATGTCAAAGCCCAAAGGAACTGATGGTGACCTGTTAAGTAAATAACAAGCTGTGTTGACTGCTTCACCCCAGAATGGCTTTGGTAATTTTGCCATCCTCAACATACATCTGACTTTTTCCACAATGGTGCGATTCATTCTTTCAGCTATACCATTATGCTGCGGTGTTCCAGGTTCTGTCCTCTCATGCCTGATCCCATGCTTTGAGCAATACTCTTCAAAGCTTTTAGATGTGTATTCCCCACCATTATCAGTTCGAATACACTTTAAGGGTAACCCTGTCATCCTTTCAACCATGGCATGAAATTTTTGAAAATACTGCAGTACCTGACTTTTATATTTCAACATATACACCCAAGTCTTACGTGAAGCATCATCAATAAAAGTAACAAAAAATCTGCTACCACCTAATGACTCAACCTCAATGGGACCACATACATCAGAATAAATTAATTCCAATCTATTTTCTTTTCTCTGAGAACTTTTACGAAAAGAAACTCTATGATGCTTACCAAACAAACAATAATCACATGAATCGAGAGACATACCTTTGGTCAAGGGAATGAGAGAGTGCCTTGCCAAAACCTGTAACCCTTTTTCACTCATGTGTGCCAGCCTCCTGTGCCACAAGTTTGCTGAAGCATCATTTTCAACGGTATTTACCTGGTTACCGTTCAATTGCATCCATGTCTTATACATTGTGCAGCATAGTTTTCCCCTTGCAACTACCATAGATCCTTTGAGAAGCTTCCACTGTCCATTCTTTTGTCGGCTTTCATATCCCTCCTTATCAAGGACATTAATAGCAAGCAAGTTCATTCTCATATCTGGAATGTGTCTGACATCCCTCAAAGTTAACATGCAGCCTGTACTAGTTTGTACAACAATATCACCAATCCCAACAATCTGCGACACACTCTTGTTTCCCATCTTGGTACAACCAAAGTCTCCTGCTTTGTAAGTTGTAAACAACTCTTTCTTAGGAACACAATGATATGCCGCTCCTGTGTCAACTATCCACTCAATGCCGGGATCACTAACATGATTACAATCACCATGTGTACAAATCAAAGTAACTAAATCACTATCTGAATTCACTGCTGCAACATTGCTATCATCTGAACTCTTGCCTTTCTCATCTTTTCGCTCTTGCTTCAAGATTTTACAGTTTCGTTTTATATGACCCGCCTTACCACAATGAAAACACTTCACTTTACCTCTAGACTTGGATCTATGTTTAGACTTACAAGTTGTAATCTTTTTAACAAGCATAACTTTATTCATACTTGTTTTTCTCTCATACAATGCTGCCAATTTTTCCCAAACAATGTGAGCATCTGACTCCTGCGCTACATGATGGAACACGCTGATATCAACCCATTTTCTGATTGTAGCCAGCGTCTTTCTACCTAGCTTCTTCCAGCTTTCATCTTTCATATCTGCTGGTTTAGCCGAATCACCCAATACTGGCTCATACAAATCTTTACAGTATAGATGATCCTCCATCATAGGCTTCCAAATTGAATAATTTGATGCTGTCAATTTTATCATGGAACCTGTATCACCCTCCATGATCTCAAACAGAATTTACTTCTATCCTGGGTTGCTTCTGTATCGATGTCTCAAAATAACCCTCGCTCTGATACCACTTGTTGCGCCTGAAGCAATAATCACAACAATACAGAAGCAATAGACAACAATCAATAATCAAATGCGCAGGAAAAATAAAGCACTCCAAGATTTACGTGGAAAACCCTCCAGTGTAGAGGGAAAAAAACCACGGGCCACCAGAAAAATCTTCACTATCAAATAATAGTTATACAAAGTTCTTCTCTAGCTAAAACTAGAGCTAATCAACAACTAGAGAAACAATTGGAGAAATCTCACCAAATAAGTGACTCAACAAATACACCTTGGATTTGTTCCTAGAGAGCTTCAAACCCGATCTTCACCGTTCAGAATGTCAAACTCTGAATCATAAACCTCCTGACAAGGTTCCAACTCAATCGGACCACGGATCGACTTCCGTTCAACCAACTCTCCCTTCTCCTTTTTCTCTCTCTGCTTTTCCTGGCTTTTCTTCTTTCTCTGCTTGGTTTTCGACACACACCTTAAACAACCCCACCTCTTTTTTATTAAGTAGCTAGGGCTCTGTGTAAAATAAAAGATCAAGGCCCATGGCCTTTACTTGGTCCAAAACCACTTACATGGGACTGGACCCCATTTTCCTAACATAGGTAAGGTACGCTTTCGTTTTGCTGTAAATTGATCATGTTGTGATCTAACCATGCATGTTTCCACTTCAGGGAGGACGAAGAATTGGCTGAAGTTGAAGCAAAACTGGTAGGTTTTTTTAATGAATTTCCTGATGTTTAAGTTGAAATTTCATTTTGATTAAAAAGAAAAACTTGACATCATTTAAACGTTGCTTTGTTGGTGTGATTAGGATGCTGACTGGAAGGCTAGCACAGGAACAGTCAAGGTAGGCAAAAAGGTAGAGCAACAACGGCATATTTCAGGAAATGGGATAGCGTTGTCTCAATAGACATGTTTTCTTTCAATATTCAACTTATTGGATTAAAATATCAAAACATATTTGATTTACTATAGGACATATATAAATTTGTCACTATATTCCTTTGGGCCTGAGGGTTTTATTTTTATTTAAATATATATTTTTTTCTTTTTATTTTTATTGAAATATTTATTCCTATTTTAAACTTAAACTTTTTAATGATAAATATACTATAAATTACTATATAAATTACCTAAACTCAAATTAAATTTAATATGTAGTGACATGAAGCAATATAGTTAATTTTAAACCCCAAATCACCGGAATCCAAAATTTCATGACCATGGTAAAAGTCAATATTATGCTAATATGCTCAATCCGCTAGTTTTATTTGTCATGCGCTTCTGAATTCATGGCCTGCGCATTATATTTTATGTTTTCAAGTTATAGTTTTCATGAATAACACTTTTAAGATACTGAAGACATTCTGTTTCATATGTTCCCAGACTGATGATGAATTGAAAAAGGAGAAGCGGCCATTTCTCACACAGTTCTTCTCTCCCATATTTCTGAAGGTTATAACCTCTATAACCTATTAATTTGAACCTTGATAAGCCCTAGATTTACTCTAACAATTTGACGGTGCCTATATTTTGCAGGCATTTTCAATCATATTTTTCGGTGAATGGGGTGACAGAAGCCAGGTAAAATTTAATCACATGAATTGCATATTTTTGTCTCTTTTGTAACAAGTCACTATTGCGTTTTCATTATTTTAGACTAAGTATTTTACTTTCTTTTCAGATTGCTACAATTGGTTTGGCTGCAGATGACAACCCATTTGGTGTAGTTCTTGGTGGTATTGTGTAAGTTTTACCTTTTAATATCTCCATGTATTTGCTGAAGCAATGCTGTTTCCTTCCTATGTTGAAACTATTCTGTATGTTCATAAAAATCATACCTTTTCTATTGTTTCCTTTTTTTTCAGAGGACAAGCATTGTGCACCACTGCTGCTGTCCTTGGAGGAAAGAGCTTGGCATCTCAGATATCTGAGAAAATTGTAATCCAGATCCACACTTGTCTTTGTACCTTTCTGCAACGGTTTGCTTATTAATTTCTTGAGCAACTTGTAAAACCCAGTTTTTATCATTTTGATTCAGGTTACACTCTCGAGTGGAGTTCTTTTCATTGCTTTTGGAATCCAATCCTTCCTCTCAACAGTAGAGTCTTGATGGCTTGCTAATGGTTTGTGCCTATTTTCATGTCTAGAAAACTGTTTGTTATGGGGAGGGTTCTTTTCCGTTTTGGGCATGGGGAAGGCTTCCTATGAATGCTTCTGCTTTTGATGCTTTTGATGAAACCTTTGTGATGTTGGCAGCGACTTTGGCATGGCCAGCGTTCTATTTTATTTTCTCTCTACTCCTGTTGCTGTATTCTTGTTTTTGTTTTTCGATATTTGGACATATTAAAGCAAATGGGGATTTTTTTTTTTTCCATTTCATACTTAATTTACCGTCTTTTTTTCCCTAACAGAAGTGCTTTATTTAGTTTACCGTGAGTTAATTAGTTATGAACTTATGATCACTAACCATGCTGACATTCATGCCATTCACTGCCATCCCCATTATATTTCTTGTTAAGTTGGGTACATAGTCCTTCCTCTCATTTGCATTTGATGGCAGTATTATGTAAAAACAAAGTTTCCTCGTTGATTAGGTTCAGATCTTTTGAAGATTGAACTGTTATGTTCGATTACATCTCCAGGTGTTTCGAACAAGGTAAAACAAATTAATCGATTGAATTCTGACACGTTTTGCTCCATAAATACATATAGCTTGTTACACAATCTTGTGTTTAGGTGGGTTCAGCAGCTCATCCATGCCACTTCTTCCCCAATCTGCAGTAACGCAGATAAACTTCATGCACCTGGGAAATTGAAACTCATTGACGTACAAGAACGACCCGACTCAACTTGTCCTTGGTTGATTAAATTTGTAAAAGCAAAAATTGAAATAATACTATGACTTCTGGTTCCCTGCTTGGGTTGGAAATAATCTGAGACGTGTCCTATTCCTGGTCTGTTAATTTCGCCCTATCCACAATTTTGTTCTTTTTCTTGATTTTTTAAGTTGTCAACTCATCCCAAATCGACTAGTCCAAACATAAGCAAAGCCTCGGGTAGAAAACGATAGAACAACCTTGCTTTTGTACTGATAGAGAAACATTTATAATCAGTATCATCCTCTTATCTTTAATTTGACCATAGGGGATGTCCAGGGATCATCAGATAAGAGCACTACTGAGATATACACCATCTAACACTCTAAAAAGGGTATATTTAACAGTGATATAACCAAATGGTTTATTAGGTTGTCTCTGTCTTTAGCAACCTCCACTTGCTGGTTCAATTGAACTCAGAAGCCCGTTCCCCCTTAGCTGCATGCAGTGTTCTTCTGCATCTGCCTGAGCACAAATAATCACCACTGCCAAGCCATTGTAATGTGCTTCTTGCATGATATTAACAGCATTGTCAAGTGTCATTCCAGGGATAACTTTCAACAGTACTTGGACAACATATCTCCGTTTGTTATAGTTGTCATTGTGCAGTATGACTCGATAAGGTGGAGCTATTTTTCTCGATTTCCTGAGCATGGCATAACCACAAAAATGTTAAAAAAAAAAAAAGATCTATGGAGAAAGAAATGTTTAGATAACAGATAAAGCAAGTGCTGATTATGCCAATGCATTTTAGAAGAAATGTAAGTTTATTCATCACTCTAGCAAAATAAACCTGATGAAAAGGAAAGCTTTGTGAATAGTTGAAGGACACCAATTTAATGTCACACTAGACTAAAATAGACACAGGGCATGAAAAAAGGAAATCTCCTCAGTTTGCAATTAGTTTCTGGATTTCAAATGTTCCAGTGAGGATGCACCCATTACTTTTGTACGACCAACCAAAAAAAAGGGTATGCAAATAGATGCTTTAAAAGATGGTCTGCAAAACAGCATACAAGCCAACAAATTTATGAAAAGAATGCTCTTAAAACAATACTAACGCTTAATATTTCACATCAACATATTAAAAGGTACAACAAGAACATCGAATTTGGGCATGCACCTCAGATCAAACTCAGATTCACGACCAGGAGTAGTTCTCTCTATAACTGGCTTCTCCAAAATTCCTGCTCCTTTACCTAGTCCTGTGGTTGATATACCCATGAGAACACCACGATTGGCGAATGGTCCTTTGCTCAGAGACTGTTTCTCCCCTGTTTCACATAGAATCAATTTAACACCATTAATGAAAAACATGCAACCATCAGTATAAGCACTCTAGTGATACCAATCTAGGTTTAACCATCGGTATGAGGATGAAAGTTTTTGGAAATTGAAACAGAATAGAAAAGAACATCATAACTATAGCTTTTGCTCTGTTTGACATCTAGTATTTCTTTCTCCATAGATTTTTTTTTCTTGAAAAATAGTAAGTATTATTCTTTTGAGTATCTCGATAAATCAGAGGCAAGTAGGTTCAGTTTATCCAGTAAAAAAAAAAAAAACAATTCGGAAATTAAAAGAATATATTACTATCTTTAGGCAAATAAATGAGAATAATGAACAACACAAGATTAACATCGCAAATGTTCAGTTTTCTGATTATCAATAAGGAAAATGTATATTCTCATGTGTTCAATTTATTTTGAAATAGCAACTAAGATTCAAGAGACCATTCCAAATATTCAGAGACAGAGAACTCATTAGGTCTAAGATGACATGCTTTCTCCAATTTTCTTTTCTCTCTCTTTCTTGTATGAAGAAGTAAATACTTCTAAAGGGATCCAATCATATACAACCAAATTTATTGATGTCAAAACTATAGAACAAATACATGGGACAGGAAATCTCTGGCTAGGGATCAATGAACTAAAGCCTCATTAGACTAAATATTCCTATTTCTTAAAGAGTATATAACTCTTTCCCACCAACAAACAACAACAAACTAAGTTGCCATATGGACCATTTTGTGCTACTGTCATCCTTTTTAAGACCATATCTTCAGCAACTTCAATAAAGGTGAATTCTTTTATAATAGTTTCCATCCATGTCCACTTTGTTCTTTCCTTAACCAGCAATTTTTGCTTTGGACTCTCCTGCAAACGCTTAAACTCCCCCTCCAAAAAGTGGTAAACATAGCACGGCAACTTGAAACCATGCCCCTGGCAATCATCAATCTATAAGACCCCTAAAAATTACAAGGTCAAAGCTCAAAGATTTTCAAAAAATCCCATCTAAGAAGCTTCTAATTACATATATAAAAACAAAAGCTGCATTGTCTCAAAATTCCTAAGCATTCTTCATAAACCACACTACCAATATAATAACAAATTGTCTTCAATAACACCCATCTCAGCAAATGAATCCGCAGAAAGCTAAAGCTGGCACCCCAACTACACCCTTTTAAATCCGGATTGTTAACAAAGCAGAATTATTGGAGAAATTAAACAGAATATATACAATAATCGTCAACTAAGCGAAGTTACTACGATACCCAGATGAGTTTATGATCGTTTTATTAGAATATTCATTAATCAATCAAGAAAAGTTACAAACCTTCCTATAACCCAAAATTAGAAACCAAAAAAACAAGGGGAAGATAAAGAAGAACCTGGTTTAGGATTAAAGACAGTGTTTGGTAAAAGAGTTAATATCCCACTTATCGCAGTCTTCATGACTCTGTCTCTATCTCTCTACACAAACACACACTCTCTTCTGTTCTGTCTCTCTAATGAAAAATGTTTCTCGACCACTATTTTTATTAAAAATATTTGGGAAAATGATCTTTTTGATTTTTTTTTTTTTTGGGTCAAGGGGAAGTGAAAAAAATAAAATTTGAACTAGTGGCTTTATATGGCCTTGCGATTGTACCATGCTTGTAGCCAGACAATTCCTATGAACGAAATTAAAAAAAAAAAAAAGAAACTTGTTTTTTCATCGTTTCTAACTTTTCGAGATTGCCAGAACACCAAGTTTTTTAATTTATTTTTTTTGTACGTGAGATTGTTAAAATTTAAATCATGCTTATTAAGATAAAAAAATTTAATATTTTATTAATAAATACGCAATTGTTTGATTAAATTTCATTTTTTTCCTTCTTTCATAAAACAAAATGCAAAATTTACTATTGTAAAATCGTAGCAACTAAGCCAATGAAATTTTAGTTTAATAACTAGAAAAAAACTTGAGGATTGAGGTTGAAATCGCTGATTCACTTGTAATTATCAAATATAATTTTTTTTATTTAATTCTATATTACACATTCAAAAGAAATGAGAGGGAATTGTAGAAATATTAGGTAAATTGACATTTGGATTGTTCCATTTTTATGCTATTGCCGATCTTACAACATAATTAATACAAAAGTCTTCATTTGCTAATTAACTATGTATCCATCTTAAACAAGATAATATTTTCACAATTCATTCATGTATAAAAACTGTATGTTGAAGCATCAGTGACGATATTCCTTAAGCCACCAATTGTTGATGCCAACATAATGAACACTCCTATGAATATGCAGCCCTGAGACATAGAAAAACAGAAATTATCGGCAAATTTCACTTGATTGTAGCAGTTTGTATGATATATATAATTATCTTGATTACCCAATTGGTGAACCATTTGAGGCTGAATCTTTTTGGTTTCTTGATGACCAACCACATTATACTGGGAAGCTGCAACAATTTTCATGATATATAGTTGCAGTTAGCAAGGAGATTATCAGAAAATTGAATAGCAGTGAGCGGAAGGCTTACAAAATATGAAGTGGGAGCAAAACCAAATCCACCAAAGAAACCCAGAAGATCACCAAAGAAAGGGAAAGTGACTCCTACGAACAGGGTAAATGCTGCAAAGTTCCAGTATCCACAACAGACAATACCCAAAGTTGTTATCTAAATCTTTTTTCCTTTTCAGAATCAAGGTCATGATACTTCAATTTGGAGACTGCTTCATTTATACTAAAGAGTTTTATTATCGTTCCGTTTTCCAAGGATATATAAGAATATAGGAGAGGAAACCTCACCTACATAAGCAGATCGAGTTATGAGTCTCAGAGCAATTCCTGGTGGGAAGTTCAGCCTTTTCACCATAATCCTCTCAAGCAAGTCAAACACAGGCATAGCATAAACCTGCAAATATTTCCTTGTTACATATATATATTTATATTAAG